CACGCAGAATTGTGATTTCTATATTATTATAGGATTACTTTGATAATTCTTTTATGGGGAAACAAAATTAGGCCGGAATGAACTCCATATCAGTTTTACTTGACAATATTTATTTTCAATATACTGATGAAAAATAGCCTCTTCTTTTGAATGAACCATCAGGTGAGTTCATGGAGCTCTGATTTGCATCACCTCTTCGATAACATATAAAACTGCATCTCGATATTTCTCTAAAAGGCGGCCCTTTGAAAATTGACGTTATTTCTCAATTATTGAAACTCCAATCATTCTTCTTGTGTTGTTTCTGACTTTTCCTGTATTTTCAACTCTTAGGTTATGTTTTCGTCTAACATTTGATCCAGTATGCTGCAGCAGTGCAGTTGGGGTCATTTTAAAGCCCTCATATCTGCAGGGGGCGCCGTTTATCAAAAATAATCCTGTTTACAATTTAGAAAACTAAGTTACATTCATTTAGATTTTTTCCCCCCAATAGTTACAAAAAATATTTATTTTTCTACCAGCATTGTTTGGTGTATTTACAATGGTAAGTAGACTTTCTGGTTCAAAACAAAAAAGTAATACAAAGCATATGTCTTTGTTATTTTCTGAATAGAAAGGGTGATCACCTGTGAATGAAATATTTGTTGTCTGACTGGTTCAGAACGAGCAAATGTCCCGCTACAACTCTAGAGAGGCGTAGTGAATCATTTATTTAGGCTACAGTATGATGAACGCTTACTACTTTAGAGTTTCAGGGGGTTTGTGTTGTTTGTCGTTGATGAACGGTGTTAGATCTTCAGTGGGTTGACATGTTTGCCATTGTCTAGCCCATGTACTTTTTCTGAGATAAATTTATGGAATATATTGGAAACCATTATAGCTTTCACTGAACTGCTGCTTGTTTCTCTATACTTTTCCATAAAGGCTAGATTTGTAAAGTCTATAAATAAAAACTATAAGATCGACAGGTACTCATGTTGGATTGAGGAGCTCTACATTTCCTACAGAGTTTCCATGGATCTTTTTGCTGTTGCTTTGATTAATCCCTTCTTGCCCAGTTTGTCAGTTTAGGTAGATGGGTGTTTGGTGGTAGGTTTGCTGTTTTGTCTTACTGTCATTTCAGATATCAGAATTCTTTTTATAACCTAATTCGGGTTCATCGCAGAGTTATTAGCTGCGTTATTTGATCTTTTTCCTGTTGTTTCTAATAAGCCTCAGAGACCTTCACAGAACCGAGGAGTTTATAATGAGATTAAACAAATCAGAGGTGGTCTGTGTGTAGTGGTTAGGTAACTTCTGTAGGAAGCTGGTTGCACTGGATTTTATTGCAGGTTTGAAAGTGAAGGGGGCTCTAATAAAAGATGATTTTTTTAAGAAAATTCTGAAACAAGGCATTATTTTTGATAATTAGTGATGCAGTACTGTTACTTAAAGTCATTTTAGGCTGTATTGAGTGAATCTGAGATTATAAGCCATCAAAAGTTTAAAGGTTAGGAAACCTTTTGCCACTATCTTTATATTAAAGATCTCTTTCATGTCCTCTAAAAGGAATTAAGTAAAATGTATAAAACTACTATTTGTTCTCTACATCAGTTATTGCAATGATTAAAAACCAAAATAGTCACTGTTTGCTATGGTTTTTAAATTAGATTTTGTTTTGTTCCAACTTTGCTGCATTCAGACTTTTGCTACTTTTCTAAGATTTTCCAACTTACAAGATGCATTGATTCATAAAAACGTTTGGTGCATGATTAGCCTCCCCTCTCACTCTGCAGGTTGTAGTTTTACAGCTTGTGGTTGGCCACAGTTAACACTCCATTATTTTCTGCACCTATATGTTGTCACCAAGCTGCTGAGCATGAAAAACATTTCATTATCATAGGTGCTTCCTTCTGTTTGTTTACGATTAATCAGGTCCCTCAAGAGGATTCTTTTTCTGTGAAGTTTATGAAAATCTATCATGGAAGGAGTCTGGGAGCCAGATGGATGGCAGCTGTTTTGTTTACTTCTAAATACCACAAACCGGTTCATAGTTTACTGACAAAGTGCTCGACAGTTGTTCAGAAAGGTCATCACTAATCCCTGATGGCCCCTTTCGAACATAACTCAGCCTTTTGTGATCTTTTCTTCACTGAGGCACACGTGGTTAACAGATTTCCTAAGCAATGCTCTCTGCAGGGACTGTAGCGTTTGCATTTTTCCATTTAATAAAAAGCAGCACATTGTAAGCCAGGTGAGGCAAGTTGATTTTGAAGTAATTTTATCAAAACCCAGAATATAAAATAAAAAAAAAAGGTGTTATTATAACTGACGGTGTAATACACAGATTTCTTGATTTTAAGAATTTACTGTTTTCTGTGTCTGACATGCAGGGGTTCCAAAAATTTCCACAAAAGGTTCTTGCTTTTTTTTTTTTCATTGTAGCCCCGAAATTAATATTTGAAGCGGAACCTGTTGATTCATCTAAAGGAGGCTTCTTTTTTTTCTTCTAAATGAGCTTATCTGTTGGTTAAGCTCTTGGTAAATGGTCTCCTACTTATAACCTTCATCTCACCATCCTCTTTTCCCTTTATACTGATAAGAGGACAAGTAGCTAAAGGAGGTAATGAGAGTGTTACCAGGGCAAAGTCTGTACATGTGACGTTTTTTGTCTTTTCTCTTATAAAGAAAACAATTCTGTTTTCAATATGAGATTAAACATCTAGAAGAAAGGAAAATGTAATGGAAAGGAAATAAACTGGACTATATAATGGGATCTGAATGTGACTTAATGATTAGCTTAAATCGAAAAATTTTGATTGATTTCTGAAGCGGCTTGAGATAAAAAAGTTTATCACTTAAGTAGTTACGTTATAATTCATGCAATAGAGACGCATTGACAAAGCATTGACAAACCTGTTTTTTTTTGTCAGAAGGGACATGCTGATCTGTTTTTTTTCCTATGTTAGCTAGGCTTAGGATGCTTTTCAGCTGCAACCCCATCAGTGTGTTTAATAGAGCTTTATGATAGTCCGCTTTTGACATTATATTTTTATCTGCAGTAAACATTAATAGATGCATTGTTGTTTTTTGTCTGATTTAGGGGTTTGAAAACCAGCCATCAGAAGTCTCTCTGCTGTATTTGCAGAGTTTCACTGAGAGGAGTTCTTTATTATTTTAGTTTATCCAGATCATTAGACTTTAAGAATCAAGTAATTTAATGAACATCAGTATTATCAGTACTAGCTTTAAGAAACTCTCCAAATGCTTCATCACACTTTGCTTGCTGCAGCAACTCTTAGTTCAGTGATCTGCTACCTACCTTATTCGCTCCACTTCTGCATGTTTTAAATCCGCTTTTTCAAATTATTTTATTTCCTCCAGAGGATGTCAGCAAGTTCTGCAGGAGCCTTTTAGAGGGCTGTCAAAATCTATTATGTTAAACAAACAGGAGGGTCAGAAAAGTAAAGAACTGAAATATTTATAGTTCTGCTTGATGCTAAAAGAAATCTTTGTGCTTTTAATGCTGTGTAAAAAAAGCTGTATTTGCCCACGCTTCTGTCCATCGCTCTCTCCATCAGTTCTCTGATTTCTGAACATACATATTTAAACTCTGACCAGTGCAGTATTTTTTTGTCAAAAATTCTGATATGAATCTTGGATGCTAACATAAAAAGCAAATAAAAGGACATAAACTTATCCAATTTGAAGCTGGAAAAGCAAATTTGATATAAAAGTGTAGGAATAATTAAATGTATTTTGAATTTTTATGTTATGTGTCAACAATATAGGTATAAAGTACACAAAAATATGAACTATGGAAGATTTACTTAAAGTCTGCATCGCTTTGGTAGAGAAAGAAAAATCACCCTACAGTAGTTTCCTTTGGAATATTATCTGTATGAACTGAAAAGCATTGGTTTGGTCCAGCTGGATGTTATAAAATAAAATAAACAAAATCAAACATGACTTAAGATTGCAGCTGCAACCCTGCCGAGCCCCATTCTCTACAAATCTGGGTTAAGGTTATTGATCAACTGAACACTATGAGGAAAAACTGCTTATTTGGGTAATTATAAGCATAACAAAGGTGTACATTTTCAGCTCAGAGTAATTAGTCTGCACCTCTTTCAGCTGTCATCCTCCTTGGAATTCTAAACACATGCCATACAGAGACTGACTTCATTAGCAGTATTCATTAGACATCCCTAAACACACACTCACGGCCACACACATCGCACTATTGTGAGCAGTCTTAAAGAAAAATGGGAATTCATTCCTGCAGATTTAGTCCAAACTCTCCAAGCCTTTCTAAAAACCCAGGTCTCTGACCAGCTCGCTCATGCTAATAGCTCATTATGGACACTGAGCTAACTAGCGCATTTCCTTTTTGGGATAATGATCATTTTCCTCTCATTACTTTTGTGATTTTTCTTTTTTTGCAGTTCTAGACACAAAATCAGCTCTTTGTGTTGGTCTCCTTGTAAACTCTCATTTTGGGGTCATTTTGTTCTCCTCACCTTTCTGAAAATCTCTTTAATGACATCACTCTAAAACTCCAACTAATGCATCTACGTGTGCAGAAGTTTTAATGTGGAAACAGTAGCTTTGCTCCTTCTCTGCAAACTGTAAGTTTTCATAAGTCCCTGAGGAAAAAACAAATTTCTCATAGAGGAAAAAAAACAAAGTGCATAAAAGGCATGAAATTGATATTTAGTTTTTGTTTTATCTAATATTTTTGCAAATAGAAATCTAAAGAGTGTTCTAGGCTTTTATTCAACCACATTGACTTCGCTGCAATTACACGTAAAAGTCCTTTAGAGTATGTTTCTGTCAGCTTTGCACGTAGACAGAGATTGAATGAAACCTTTTTAGATGCATTGATGCTTGTGATGTGATATGACAAAAGAGTGCTTTTTAAAGTTCATGATTTCTTTTTTTTATGTTCTCTTAAGTTTTTTTTACTTTCTCAAATTAAACCCTAAGCCAACCATGTTTTCTCTCTCAATCTCTGTTTATAGGATCCTCCTATTTTTTCAAGGGAAAGGAGTACTGGCGAGTGCCAGGCAGTGACATGGAGGTGGAGGCAGGATACCCCCGCCTGATTGCGAAGGATTGGCTGCTCTGCACCGAGATGCAGTCGGACTCTCCAGACACGGAAGCCAAAAGCACAGAGACGAGGGTCAACGTGCACCGCCACCCGGACCATGCAGAGAACGGATACGAGGTGTGCTCCTGCACCTCTGACACCGCCTCGCCTTCAGCCATCCACTTATCCCCATCTCCACTTTGGCTTTTGCCACCTCTTTGGACGCTTTCACTGACCTGGCTCTCTGAACTCCTATGATGCTGAAGCACAGGATTGAGGCCTTGTCTTCAGTTCAAGAGAGAGACTAATTAGTGGATGCTCAGCAAAAAAACAAACATATTGGAAGGATTTCATCATATAAATACAGTTTATTTAGTTTGTTTTGTTCTCTTTTTCTGTTTATTCTTGGGGGTTATTTATTTCATATGCCATCTTCTGGCCACTTAAAGAGCCTTGCAGTAGTCATTCTACAAACAATTATCTGTCAACTGACAATGACAGAGTTTGGTGTTTCAGAAGCTAAGTTGCACACAAATATAAGTTATATTTACTCATGGCTTCATCCATGCTGAGAGGGCTAAATAGAGAGGAATGTTCCCATAGAGGTAGTTTTATCATTACAGATTTTAACGGCGACTCATCTAAAGAATGCAGTTATACAAATAAAAGGCTGGAGGGTCAAACTGCATGAAGTTGAGAATATTCACATCAAAACTGACACAAAGGTTTGGAAAGTACAGCTTCTTACCAAAGCTTCTTTTATAAAGAAGAATTATGGTAATTTATTGTCCCCAGAACATAAAACTGTAATTCTAACTCAGTGGGTGATTTGCTTGCTGTCTTTTGTTTGGTGCTCAGCAAGTTTATTGCAGTTAAAATTAGAATGAAATCCTTCTTTAAAACAACAATATTCTTCTGATTTACCTCCGGTGATGTCTGGGTCTGCTTTGCTGTTTTCTTTCAATGGTAGGCATGGGCCAGTTACCACTATATTATATAAAAGTTAGTGTCACAATCACTTTTCATTGTACATTGTACTCCCCATACAGTTTACAAGGATAGGATAGCATAGGTTACATGTTCACAGGTGAATATCAGTGAGTTTATTGGTAAAAGTTTCCTTATCCACAGCTGAAAAACTAGTTCATAAAGTAAACAAACCTTGGTATGCTAACAAGATCATAAAATCTCCGCTAGAACAATCTAGAAATAAGTATAATTTTCTTAAATTAAGTGTATTTGCCCCTAATTACAGTAGGTAAATAAGATGTTTTGCCAATGGAATGAGTATATATCCTACTAAAATAAGGTAATTAGATAACATGCACTTGAAATAAGACAATGCAATTGTTTTTATTATTTCAAATATAAATTGTCTTGTGTCATTGGCAAAGTGTCTCTCTTACCTTCTCAATTCCAGAAAAAGGAATAGGATATTGCAAATTCACATTAGGGCTTTCAGTCACAACTGTGCAGTCCTCAACTGCTGCTGCTTTAGAACAGCAGTTGGCAAATATAGCAAGCTTAGAAATAGGCTTGTTAAGTAGCAAGATATCTGAGAAAATAATATCTATTCTTTTATTTAATTACCCAATGCTTATTATTCTGGTGTTGATTTTATTCATCTAGATTTTTGTTTAAGCCCATCCAGTGGCGTAACGACACAACAATAGGCCCGTAAGCAACATTATCTGGGTGGACCCCATATGAAGTACAACAAATGATAAAGGTTCAGGATATGGAAACAGTTCCATAAATCAGCCAAGAAGATTCAATTATGCAATTCTCAGTAGTATATGATCACACATCACAAACGGAAAAATAGTGGCCGTGCACCCTGAATGGAACTATTGGTTATCAGTCCCAAGTTCCAAAAACTAATTTCAAGGAGATGCTTATCGAACATGGTTTTTTTAAGATCTTTATTGCGGTTTGAAACATATAGAGTGTATTTTTTACCAACCGTCTAATGAGCTATACACAGTTATTAACATAGTAATTAAAAGTACCGCTGTCTGCTTTGCTATTGGTGTCGTGTTTAAACGGCTCACCATCATGTTGAAATCTGGCAGGTGATGCGGTATAAATACGGTCCGGTGCGGTCAGTCACTTCAGTATCAGGTGGGTTTAAGAGGAATGTTTTGCACCATTACATCTGCAAAGAGATGTCTTAGTCTACAATTGTGTAGGGGGCCCACCAGGTGTCAGTGATGGGACCCCTAAGAGTTCATGGGCCTGTAAGCAACTGCGGTCTCTGCTTACCGATATTTACGCCATTGAGCCATTCCATTAAAGTGTCAGAAAATAAATTCATTATGATGCATTGCAAGCATATTATTTTAGCAGCAGTAGAAATAACTTTGTTCTCTTTTAAATGAATATAATAAATTAAATTGTGCATTTTTTTTTTATCCCATACAAAAAAATCTAATTTAAAGGTTAGTGTAATTCCATACTGGCCCATGCTTACTGTTCAGATTAACATCCCAGAAGACCATCAAAGAAATTATGGCAAAAAATGTAATATAAAAACAATTTGAGAAATATACCAAAAATAAAAAATAGAAGCTGAATCTATAGCTATAATAAAAAAAGAATAACAGTTACACATTACACACAGCTTTTGAAATTTTTCCTTCTTGTTCAAGAAAACAGTAGTCTCTATGTAGCCACAATGTATTATTCAAAACACTGAAGGAGCTGTACTTTCTTAAAGATTTGAGTAAAGCTATATCCAACCTGGGCTGTCAGTGTCCAGATGTTTTCCAGTCCACTGGGATGCCACATGTTGAACCTTTGCATATTCTGTCAGGTTACTGAGACTAACCTGCGTGTGTTTCATTGGGATTTTCTCTCATAGACAAACACTAAGTGGTGAATAATATTTATTTATTTTAATTTTATTTTAAAAATACTTTGTTTAGTGTTACCCTGCGATGGACTGGCGACCTGTCCAGGGTTTACCCCGCCTCTCACCTGCAGGCAGCTGGAGATAGACACCAGCACCCCACTTGGGATGAAGCGTGTCAGAAAATGGGTGGATGGATGGAATACTTTGTCTAATCGACTTTTTCTGCAAAATTAGAGCTGCAAATATTTAGTAAAAGCTGTCTATTAACGTTGGAGATCTGGATAATTTAATCTATGTCCATAGATTGGCTGTGAAGCTTCAGTCTTCCCATATATTCTAAATTTGATTTAGGTCCCTGTTTTGACAAAATCATTCTTACAATATACTTTAATTAAAACCACTCTATTAAGGCTCTGGATGGAAGTTTAAGGTCGTTCTGCTTTAAGGGGAACATCTGCTGCATTCTAAACTCTTTTGCACCTTTTAACAGGTTTTTTTTTTAAGAACTGAATTGTATTTAGCTCTATTCATCATCTTGTCAACTCTGCCCAGCTCCCCTGTCAGTGCAGAAGAAATGCTTCCCCAGAGCAGGATGCTGCCCATGCCTTTCCTCATGGGGTGGATGTTTTATAAATGATGTGCAGGGCTAGTGCTCCACCCTAAATTGAGCTTTGCATGCAGTCTTTCTTTCTTTTGTTCTTTCCTACTTACCTTAGTTTTTTTGGTCTTTCATTATTTCATTCTTTCTTTTGTTCTTTCTTTCTTTGGTTCCTTCCTTCCTTTCTTCCTTCCCCCATTTAAAGTTTTAATCACTGCAGCTTTTGGTTGGTCAGCCTTAGTAGTAGATGTAGTTTGCCCTTTTTTTTAAGTTTGCAGCAGAGCCATAATCTTTCCATATTCATAAGAATTTTTCAAAGATAAGCATTCTGTAGGTAATAGTTTTTTGAAGGCAGATTTTTTTTTTTTTTTTTTAGAGGTATCAGAGTAAAAACAAAATGTTTTTCCAATTTGTGTTGGTAAAACATATCATTTTCCATTCCCTTGCCTATTATTTGCTGGTCTGTGTTGGTCTATAATACAAAATCCCAATAAAATACATGAAATTAATGGAAACAAACGTTTTTGGAGGGGGGGGTATATATTTAGCACTGAATGACCGCCGTTGATATTCAGATCAACCAATCCCAGAGGGAACGATTGCTATTAAGCCAAATATAGACTCTAACCAGAGGGAGGAATGATACCCTGAGGTGTCAGTCTTCGACAGGTGACTGTCACTGCAGCACCCGTCTGTGCAGACAGGTGTAATGTACCTTGGGATGTATTGCAGATAGATGCTTAGGTTTACAGATCAATGGCTCTGTGGGAGCTTGACGTGAAGAAGACACATGAGTGGCGTGCTGGTTGTCAACAGCAAGATGCACATTCGCGGGGAAGACAAGCGAACATTAGAGACTGTTGGAGAAAACGACAAATGAATGTTGGACAGAACATTCAAAGCCAAGATTCCTGCTGTTGCGTAATCGACGTTATCCTTGCTTTCAGTCCTTTTCCTGCACTCCCTTTTCACATCGAGGTGATGCCCACACAGTGCTGCATTCACACCTTAAGCATTCCCCGCCATTAACCAGAGCTACAGTAGTATTGGTTTGCTGTATTTTTTTGTATTAGATATAAATATATATTGTGAGCCATGGCTTTGATGAGACAACAGCTCATGGAGCATTTTCTGACACCTGCTGAAGCTCAATTTGATGACATCCACTGCAGACCTCACAAAGGCAGCAGATTTATTATTGTTGCTGATATATTTACCTACAAGTTTAAATATAGACAGATATATTTGAGTCGCAATGTTCCATGGTTACTCCAAAGCAGGTGGAATGTGTATATTTGAAGCTGTGTTTTCTAATGTAAAATATTTTTGTAGAAAAAAAAAATAAAGACTCCACTGGTTTTCCTGGCTAATTACGGTGAAGTGAGAGAGATTACTTGAGTACCCTGTCTTGTGTCTGAGTGTGTAATTATTTAGTGCCATTGAAAAACAACCCATGCTTGAAGACAGATGAAGGTAATAGAACAGCTTGTAGACATCCACCGGGAGTTGATGTCCATCTCTGTGGAGCTCTTAAGAATGTTTTCTTCTTACTTTTATTTTGTAATTATGAGTCTGTTCATGAATATTGCAAACGTATTATGATAATCACCACACACAATCACTCTGGCAGAAAATGTTACTGTCGTTATTTTGGGCCTTAATGCTTGTGTTAAAAAAAAACATAATGTGGCTCCTTAGGAAGCGTAGGCAGCTCCCTCATTTAACCATATAATTAAACATACTAAAGAACATTTCTGCACTATTCAAGCTATCACAGTGGCAATATTGAGGAAACAATTGCGAAAAGATACATATTTTCAGGTAATATATCTTCTTCATATTCACATGGATGTGTTGTAGGTCCTTTTGGAATTCTTTTTTTCTCATTTGGGAATTTCCTTTCAATGAAAACATGGTGAATTCTACAAACAGATTTTCCCTTCTCACCTTTATCAAGGTTGTGAGCCATCATACCAGAGTTACTTGAAATACTCTCTTTCCACATCATATTATAGGCTGCAACATACTGTATCTAAAGGCGCTGTTCAGCACTAGCCAGCATATTTAGATGTATGAAGAATGTGGCAAAAACTGTGACGTATGTTAGATAAGTTATGGGTAAGTTTTTGTATAAGTTATGAGCACACTGAAGCATGTCGACATACAGCAAATGCATCAAGTAATATTGAGTATGCTCAAAATTTCTTGATGTATGTCAGTGTTTTGGCCTGTTATGGACTGGCGACCTGCCCAGGGTGGACCCCGCCTCTCACCCGTGGACAGCTGGAGACGGGCACCAGCACCCCTCGCGACCCTGCTTGGGATAGATATGACGGATAATGGATGGATGTCAGCGTATGCCATATGTGGGCCATAAGTTACAGGTAAGTTATGTGATCATTTAATTGTTGTAAGTCACTCAACAGTCCTGGTGTCTTGCCTATCCAAAACCTATGAGTAACTAATGCATAACTTATGCGTCACTTGTCAAGAACGTATCTCCAACACATATCAACGGGTCTGATGTGTTCCAGGCAACAGCTGAACATGTTTCTAACTTACTGCTACTGTATAATGCCGTATTGGCAGCGTTTTTAGGTTTAAGAGGGGGTTCACAGGAGGAAACCGTCAATACTCCTCCTGGTTCACACCCACGTTCACGACAAACAAAGTCCTAGCAGACATGACGCTGAATCTGCTGCAACTGCAAACCTCCTTTCTTTCTTTTTCTTTTTTTTTTTGCTAGATGGTAAACAGCAGCTAAGTTAATACCACGACAGCAGTTTAGAGAAATCTTCTTGTG